TTCATCAAGCAGAAGCTCGACGAGCGGCGCATGCTCGAGTTCCGCGCGGAGATGGCCTTCCTGTCGGAGCTCCACCACCCCAACATCGTCCTCTTCATCGGTACTGACGTCACAGCCCTCTGTTTCATGGTCGTGACCGTTATTCTCATCACCACCACCGCCATCACAATAGGGGCGTGCGTGAAGAAGCCGAACCTGTGCATTGTGACCGAGTTCATGAAGCAGGGCTCGCTCAAGGACATCCTGGCCAACAACACCATCAAGCTGGCCTGGAAGCAGAAGCTCCGTCTGCTGCGGTCGGCCGCGCTGGGCATCAACTATCTCCACTCGCTCCACCCGGTCATCGTGCACCGCGACCTCAAGCCCTCCAACCTGCTGGTGGACGAGAACATGAACGTGAAGGTGGCCGACTTCGGGTTCGCGCGCATCAAGGAGGAGAACGCCACCATGACCCGCTGCGGCACGCCCTGCTGGACCGCGCCCGAGATCTGCGCGGCGAGAAGTACGACGAGCGGGCCGACGTGTTCTCGTTCGGCATCATCATGTGGCAGGTGGCCACGCGCAAGGAGCCCTACGCCGGGCGCAACTTCATGGGCGTGTCGCTCGACGTGCTCGAGGGCAAGCGACCGCAGATCCCAACGACTGCCCGCCCGAGTTCCGAAGGTGATGAAGAAGTGCTGGCACGCCAACGCCGACAAGCGGCCCCGCATGGAGGACGTGGTGACCTTCCTCGACAGCAGGTGGGCGATGACAACGACTCCTCAGCCGCCCAGCTCGGTATCTAGAGGTTTCTTTGTCTTTCTGTACAGCAACAAACAACACTACCGCACTTTCAAGAATAGCTGTTGAGTTGCAAAAATAGTAACAGTATCCGTCTCTCCCCCCTCGCGCTCGGTCGTTCGTTGTTGATGGTCTTACGCCTCCGACCTCGTCTCCTCTCTTGTGTTGCATGGTTGCCGCGTCGCGCCTCTTCTTCGCTCTCCTCGCTCCTTGCCGTGGTGGTTGTGGTTGTAGTGGAAAGACCTGCGCGTTGTGTTGAGCCTGCTCCGCCGTTGGCAATTGGATGACCACGAGGACTTCAGTCCAGATCGATGTCGAGGATGATGGCCTGGAGTTCTCTTCTGTTGGCACCCTTCTTGCCCTTGGTCTTGCAGGCCGCCTTGGTCATCGGACCCATCGAACAAATGCCGCACCTCCCGCACCAGCGACCCCTGTGCTTGCTCCTGTCTCCCCTCCTCCTCATTGGTGTTGTTTGGTTGTTTCTTCTTCGTCAGCTTTGGTGCCGCTTTGTAGGCCCTCTTTCCGCCTCTTATTTGTCGGGCGGCCCACGCCCATTGCAAGCATTGGTTCCCAGAAAAAACTGAGATATGAACAAACACAGCCTATTGGAGTGTGAGGTAGGTGCATGGGGGGTGGACGATTAATTGCGCAGTGTAAGACCTCAACTAGAGAGGACCGAGTTAGGCGCACATCTAGGATCATCAGTTGTATGAAAGGAAAACCTGTCTATTCGTTAGTGAGGCTCCAGACGCAGAGAGACGCGGAGGGTTCCCACACTGGAGGTGGCAGCTCCGAATAGCTATCTGTTGTGTGCAGCGGTGTGGTGAAGAGTGTCTGTTGATGTCAGACACACGCACACGTGCTGATGATCGCTTGGGCCGCAGGGAACAGTGTCTTTTTCACGGCCCAATTTCTGGTCTTTTCTTTATATCCTTGTCGATGCAAGCCAATGGCGGTGCTTCCAGAGAACCTCGGCCTCATTCACTCACGTGCGCACGCCCTTGAGGTCTTGTGGAGGGTGAACACTCCGGGTGCAACAGCACGCGCTCCCCGTTCTGCAACTAGGGGCCAGTTTGAACTCGCGCGGGGCGGTGCACACGGAGTTACATGCTGAGTTTGTTCCACCCGCCAATCATGACGCCCAACAGGAGGGAGGACCCATTTCTGCACCGGCGAAAGGGTTGGCTTCACTTCTTTACTTCCGCCCACACGCACACAACACCCACCTACCTCACAGCTCGCAGCTGGCCACCAGTACCGTTGCCAGTGCCAAGCCAAGACCGGGAGAGAAATGACCTCTTCCCACCGCTACTGTACGCTGGCGACCAGCCTGCTGCTGGTCCTTCTCGTGCAGAGCTTCTGCCCCCCCGGTACCAACCACCGCACACGGAGTTGTTTTCCGAGCCGAAGAAATTGTTTTATGGTGCGAGCTCAATGGGAGGAGTTGATGGCTGACGGTGGTCAAGAGGCAGCGTACGGGGTGGAGCTGTTCGGCTCGGGCAGCCCCAACGCCGTTTCCCACTTCCAGTCGTGGTCAGCGGACTACCAGTTCTCGCGTGACGACGTCAGGTACCGAACGCCCGGACTTTGTGAAAGATCGTTGTGCGCCTTTTTATGGTTGGTGAACGCCTCTTTCCTTTGTTCCCCAGCCTCACGTACACCGGAGTTGGCACAAATGTGGCCCTTGACTCCTTCAACCTCGGTACCGTGCTAAACACTAGAGACCAATCGTGGGCTCCTTCTCTCGAATGCCCACCTGTGCTAAGGACGTGGGTGGCACACACACAGGATTTCACGTGCCTAGACCGGGGCATCACCGACGAGTTCGAGGAGTGCAGCTACCTCCTCCAGCTGCCGTTGGCGGGCCAAGCCATGGTGATGGCCTACAACATCCCCGCCCTCGGCCCCTCCGACCCCAGCATCGTACTCCCCCCCCCCAAACACCCAATTCAGTAGATATTGATAGTACCATTGATTGGTTCTACACTTGACAAATTCTGCGGTTGATTGGTTGACACTTGCCCGTGCAAACAGGTCCTTGACCGAGACACTCTGGGCGATATCTGGGCGTGCGTGGTTACCAAGTGGAACGACACCCGCATCAAGGACCTCAACCCGGCCATCGCCAACAAGTTGCCCAGCGAGGATATCCGCCTGGGCTACAGCGACAACACGGAGCTCACCGTGGTCGAGGTCTTCAAGCGCGCCATGGAGAGCTTCAGCGTCAACTTTGCTGATGTCCTCGCCGCCGCCAACCGGTCGCTTGCGCAGCTGCCGCCAGCCACCGCCGTGCCGCCTCGGGCCTTCGCCCTTGGTTCCTCGGGTGTGCTGCGCACCGAATGGCTTCAGGTACACTTTCACAATCACACCAGGCTCGATCATTTACAGTGCACACGCGTAACACAGACAACCAGGCCCCTATTCTGCTTTTCTTACAATGTCAATTGCCGATGGCCAATGTTTTGTGATGTGTTGTGTTGTGGTCGTATCTAGAATAACGCCAATTCGATGACCTACATCTACTTGACGGACGCTGTGACCCTACCGGAGGGCTTGCGGGTGATGAATATGTACAATAAGGCCGGCAACTTCGTCGATCCCTCGGGCGTCGATCCAGTCGGCCATGGCCGACTTCAGCGACGACCTCGACGCCGGCAACTTTGCGGTGGACATCTACGACGGCAATGGAACCGCCACCTGGCCCATCTCCTTTCTGGTCTACATCTCCGTGGCCCGGAACACCACCAAGCTCGACTGCACCTACGTGCAAGAGGCGCTCAACCTTGTCGCCTGGGCTCAGACCAATGACGCGTACGGTCCCGAACGAAACTATCATCATCGCCATCATCACTTACGCTCACGCGCGTGTGTGCGCGGTCATTCTGGTGCAGCGCATCGCGATCGGCGACGGCGCGAGGCTATGCTCCGCTGGATGTCAGTTTCAGGAAGCGGGTGATCGACCAGCTGCCCACGGTGCGCTGCAACGGGGAGCAGGCCTACACGACGGCCTATCTGGTCGGCGCCGGCCCGCCGCTGCCGGTCTACACCTCGTGGGCCATCGCGCGCACGTCGGGTACCACCAAGCTCAAGTTCTTCGAGTCGGAGCCCACGCCGGCCAAGCAGCTGCTGGTCACCTACCAGGAGGACTACGGCGCCACGAGCAACGGCCTGTCGGCCACCTGGTACTCGCTCATGCCCGACGTCGCGCTCATGCCGGTCGCGGTCTACGCGATCGTGCCGGGCTACAACATACCGGAGCTCGAGGGCAAGACCCTGGTGCTCGACCTGGAGACCATCGCGCTCATCTACCTGGCCAACATCACCATGTGGTCAGACCAACGCATCAAGGAGCTCAACACGGCCGACGTGGCCGATGCGCTGCCCGATCAGCCGATCCTGGTGGTGACCCAGAGCGTGGCCTCCGCCACGACGCAGGTCTTCACCGCTCTTTTGGCGAGCGAGGTGCCCGAGTACCACGACCAGGTTCGTAGTCGTTAGAACTCCGCCCATCACGCATGACTTGCTTGGCTACCAGAAACCTGGAATTTATGGAATGTGTCGGTGTTTGGCAGGTTGGTCGAGGTTCCCTGGTAACATTCCCGGTTCAGAACGACGTAAGCAGATCGCTGGTCACCAGCAGCCCAACGGGCGTGGTCCCGCTTCTCCAGGCGAATCAGTACTCGTTCGCCTTCTGGCAGTTCTACGAGATCCTCGCTGTCGATGCCCTAACCTCAACTCTCCACGCGCTGCTGTTTGATTGCTGATTGGCCCTGGCTCATGCGGTAGGTGCGCACGCTCGGAGCTGCGGCGCTGGTCAACCCGAATGGTGAGGGAAACGTGGTTGTGCCGACCACGGAGTCGATTGAGAGCGCCCTCGACGCTTACGCACTGCAGGGCGACTTGTCTTACACTAACCTCATACTGGGTACCGAGCCATAGCACCTTTAACTCCTCCGCGCAATCACAGTCGCCCAACCAACTCACTTGAATGGCCCCCCCAGCTTCCGATAACAACAGTTGGCCGCTGGCGGCGTTCGGTTCGTTCTTCTATCGAAGCCAGACCATGCAGGACTGCAACACCGCGCGAGCCCTGGCCAGCTTCCTCTACTGGACCCAGACCAACGCCGTGGCGAGGCAGAGCGCCAACCGGCAGGGCTTCATCTTGGCCACGGCCGCGGAGCCCATCGAGCGCCAGTTCCTGCGACAGCTGAAGGAGTTCACCTGCAACGGCATCGCCGTGAGCAACGTCCACGGCTGCATCGACAACGGCTACACCCTGTGCTCCAGTGCCGGCGTGTGCACCTCCAATTGGTGCGTGTGCGACACGGGCTGAGTGGGGCAGTACTGCGAAAGCTTCGCCACCGCCGAGGGCTCCGGCTCGTCCGACTCGACCGCCATCGCTCTCGGTGCGACTTCCACCTTGCCGCCGCAAAATTCAGCCTAAGTTGATCTGACCACCCAACTCAACAGGCGTTACGATCCCGGTGGCCGCTTTGGTGGTCTGTCTGCTGTTGGCTCTGATGGTGGCCCTCCTGATCGTCATCAAGCGCAGGAGCGACCAATCCGACGATTGGGAGATCGAGTACGACGAACTCGAGGTCGGCGAACAGCTGGGCGCCGGCAGCTACGGCGCAGTGCACAAGGCCACGTGGAAGGGCACCGAGGTGGCCGTCAAGGTCATGGGCTCGGAGAAGATTACCAAGGACATGGAGAAAACTTCAAGGACGAGGTATGCGGCGTCATTGTGCTGTTGTCCCTTGCTTTCATCACTGACCTGTTGTTGCGGCTCAGGTGAGGGTGATGACGTCGTTGAGGCACCCTAACGTGGTGTTGTTCATGGCCTCGTCGACCAAGGCGCCCAAGATGTGCATCGCCATGGAGTACATGGGCCTCGGCTCTCTCTACGATGTACGCTCCCAAATTGCCTCAAGTTGTCTTCTCCCAATTTGTCTCACCCAGTGTTTGTGGCGACCAGTTGCTGCACAACGAGCTCATTCCGACTTCACCTCCAAGACCTCCAACTCGTCGTCATCGGGCAACTCGGGACCCGACGGGCGCCGGGGGCTTGCAGAAAAACATCTACGGCTCGTGGACTATGCCGTCGGCCAACTCTTCATCGACCGGCACCTCTTCACCATCCAACTCGTCGAAGAACCTCTCGGCCGCTCACGCCGCGGCTGCTGGGGGGGGGGTACGCGCGCCCGAGGGCGAGGTGGCGATCGTGTTCACCGACATCACGCGCGCCGCCTCGCTCTGGGAGTTCAACGCAGCGGCCATGCGCGACGCCACGCTGCTCCACAACGAGACCCTGCGCGCGGCGCTCAAGCGGCACCGGGGCTACGAGGTGGTGTTCATCCGCGACCGCAACAGCGGCGAGGGCTCGTTCTGCATGGCCTTCCAGCAGGCGAGCGACGCGCTGGCCTGGTGCGCCGAGTGCAGCAGGCTCTGCTGGCGGTGGCGTGGCCCGAGGCGCTGCTGGACCACCCTGGCGCGGCCGAGGAGTGGGGCGACACCGACGATCGGTACTCCCTTAGCCCCACATTCCACTCTGCATTCTTCTGCCGCCTCCTTAATTGCATATGTGTCGGCGTAGTGTAATGTACAAGGGCCTGCGAGTCCGCATGGGCGTTCACGTGGGCACGCCCAAGATTCCCAGAGGTAACATGAACGAGAAAGATGTGAACCATGTTAAGCGCGTTGGTGGTGGTTAAGAGGGCGTGATAGAAAGATCAGCAGAGGTGCCTGTCCACCCAAGAGGTACTCAGCCTCAAAAAGGTAACACACCAGGGTAAGTCCAAGTTCACTTAAAAATTGTTCCAATTGGTCCATGCTCTGGTCTTTTGAACTGAACGGATAAAAACATAACCAAGAGGAAGAACAAAATGTCAACTGTGGAGGGTGTTTGGGCGGAGCTGAAGAACGTGGGCAAGGTCACCAGGCGAAGAAGCGAGGAATGGTACTCATTTGAGGTGGACTATGACAAACTCAACGCCAGTGCCTCGGTGTTGGCCGGTATAGCAGCGTTCTCTAGCCACATGTGGATCATGGACACCATGCGAGCCGAGAAGAAGGGCTGGAAGTGGTACGGCGACACGCAGGTCGTCGTCTACAAGTTCACCGCACCCTCCATGCGTGAAGTACGCGTTTGGCACCATCAACTGTTTTGAACCTGCGTCAGAGACCTGCCCCCCCCGAAACCCAGGCGATCATCACCGCCATCGTGGGCACGGCAGTGTCAGGCTCGGGCGCTGGCCGCTTCTCGTCGCCCAACCAGAGCTTCTACGTCGAGTCCAACAGCGACGGCAGCTGGGTGGACTTCTGGCAGAGGACGGCGCAGGGCGACAACGACCTGCCCAAGTGGGAGGGCGCACCACGAGTGACCGTCAATCTCGTCCAGACCGGTAACACGTGCTGCACTCTGGCCCAGAAGGACGACAAGACCTTCATCCTTGTGGACTACCTGACCAGTTGATGTTGTGGGTTGAAAAAAAAGAAAAAGAAAAGATGAAGGAAAAACAACTTTTAACGGCTAGTTTTCATTTTTCATTTTTCTTGACTGCACGAAACAGATGGCCACCTCGTGGACTGGTGGGTCGACGTCGGCCAGCAGTGGCGCGAGCAAGCGAAACCGCGCCCGGCCCTCGGGAAACAATCTGGCGCTCTCGCCCAGCAAGAAATCAAAGTACCAACCCAATAATTAATTACTCAATTTCCTTTAATTGCCAATGTTCATGTTGTTGTATGTAATTACAGGAGGCCAAAGATCTACGACGAAAACGTGACCCGCCGCCTGCCAGAGAAGGTGCAGCCCCCACAACTACTTCTTTATTCCTATTTCTTTGGTGGATTAATGTAAATCAATTCAATTTTGAAAAGATCGTGGGCTACGTGCCCGAGGCCGAAGCCTACGATCGGTTGGTCGAGTTCGAGCGACGGCTCGACGCCACCCTTCTGCGCAAGCAGCTCGACATCCAGGAGTCGAAACAGGGCAAGACCTCGCGGGTACGACTACAGTACACACGGCGCACACACAACGCGCCGGCACCGCACGTAACGCGCAACGCTAACCTGCGCGCGTTCATCATCATCATCATCATCATCGACGACGACGACAGACGACGAAGATCCTGCGCATGTTCATCTACAACACCTACGACAATCAGCAGGGCTACTACCACGTCGACGAGGTACTAACCTGTCGCGCGCGTGTTCGCTTGTGTGTGTGTGTGTGTGTGTGTTGCAATCGATGATCGTCGATTGTTGCACGCCTGGCTACTAACCCTGACCTTTGCACACATCCGCCAGGCCGGCGTTCACGAGCCGCCCTCATGGACGCTCAGGATCGAGGGCTACCTCTTCGATCAGGTGCGTGTTGTGTGTGTGTGCCGTGTGTGTCCTGCGCCATGTGTGCCGCGTGTGTGTCGTGTCGTTATTCACCCACGTGTGTGTCGTGTGCGGTGTGCGGTGTGTGGTAGCAGGAGGTGGATCTGCAGCGCCGCACGACGTCGCGCCCGACCAAGACCAAGTTCTCGCGCTTCTTCCGCAAGGTCCTCGTTCAGCTCGACAAGGACGTCTACACCCCGAACGACATCATCGAGGTTGACACTCCTCACCCCCCCTTCCCCGCCGCCGCAGTGCTCGTTGTGTGTGTGTGTGTGTGTGTGTGTGTGTGTGTGTGTGTGTGTGTGTGTGTGTGTGTGTGTGGTTGTGTGGTGTGTGTGTGTGTGTGTCACCAACTGTGTGTCGTGTTGCATTACACTTGGCAGTGGGACAAGGCGCAGTCGCACGGCGACACGGACGGGTTTGAAATCAAGCGAGCGGGCGACGCGGAGACCACCGCCAAGATCATCCTCCACCTGGACTACGCCCCGAACCGATTCAAGCTGTCGCCGGCGTTGGGCGGCGCGCTGGGCATGCACACCGACACGAGACCCAAAATCGTGCTGGGCGTGTGGCAATACGTTCGGGTACCCGCCCGTCTCGCCCCCGCACGTTCTTCGAGTCTACGTTGTGTTCACCAGGCGTCGTGCGCTTGTCGTGTCGTGTCGTTGGTCGTGTCGTGTCGTGTCGTTGGTCGTGTCGTTGGTCGTGTCGTGTCGTGTGTCGCAGGCGAATCGTTTGCATGATCCGGAGGATCGGCGGTACGTGGTGTGCGACGAGGTGCTGCAGGAGGCCTTCGGCTGCACCCGCTTCGCTGCGTCCGACCTCACGCGGCTCGTCAGCGAACACCTCTCGCCCGCCGACCCCATCGAAATCGAATACACCATCAAGTACCACCTCCCTTATTTATTTATTTATGAATTTATTTATTCTTTACATCTATACTGGCGTTATTAGTGTAATAATAATAATAATACTAATAATAAATATATTATTAATATATAAAAAGGCGGGAGGGCGACTGGCAGGACTACCGGGAGTGTTACGACATCGAGGTGGAGGTCGACGAGACGCTCCCGCAGAAGCACCCCATCCTGAACAACCCTGCCTCGTCTCGCGAGGTGCGTGAGGCGAAGCCACCACCGCCCGCGCCGCACACGCGGTCTTTGGCTGACCTGTGCGTTGAATGCTATGTTCGCTGTGTGTGTGTGTGGTGTGTGTGTGTGTGTGTGTGGTGTGTGTGTGGTGTTGTTTTGTTTTGCCCCTCTCCAGATGTTGCAGCTGGACGATCAGATCGGTAAGCTGATCGATCAGATCAAGGACCACGCCAAGAAACGCGATTTCCTGGCCGACTTCTACAAGGAGCCCATCAGTGCGCTCCTCTCTCTCTCTCTCTCTCCCCTCTCGTTCTTCACCTCCTTTGCTTACTCGATCGACCTCTCCCATCGCGTGCAGCTGCGATGAACAAGCTGGTGCAGGACCAAGTGCTGGACTACAAGCTGATGACTGGAGCCACGGACACTGAGGCATCCCTGCCCGAAGACGAACGCCACGCCGACTACTACTACCAGGTACCGTCGCCTTCACAACAACAACACACACCACCGCACACACACCACACACACGCACGCACACACCACCACCACCACGCACACGACACATTCTCACACCGCGTGTCTGCAGCCGTTCACGTTCAAGGCTGTGGAGAAGTACCTGCAGCGGCCTTAGATGAAGGCGGGGAGGCGTTGTATGATTGGAATGTATGCAATGATTGAATACATTGACTACATTCCAACCAAAAAAATAGAATATAATAATTACTTATATATTCAAAAATAAATAAAGAATTGGTCAAGACCGCGGGTGGAGGTAGTAGGAGAAGAGGGAGAGGGTTGAGTCGGAGGAGCCGCCGGCGAGGGTGGACTCGTCAAAGGCCAGGCAGTTGACCCAATCGGAGAAGAGGAAGGCGTACAGGCAGCGCCCCTCCTCGAGATCGAACACCCGAATCGTGTGGTCGTTGGACCCGCTCACCACCCGCCGACCATCGCACTGTATGCACTTGACTCCTGAAAACGAAAAAACGCGTGACCGCACACGCAACACACCGCACGACACGACGTACGCACGTCAGCCGCTGCTGATTGTCTGATTGATGACAACGACAACGAGAATGACGACGATGATGGTAAGTGTGTACCTTGGGTGTGCCCTTTGAAGGTGCCGATCTCCTCTTCGCTACCGCGACTGAGGTCCCACACACGAATCGTCGTGTCCAGCGACCCGCTCACCTACGCCAACCACAAAACATTCACTTTAGGACACACACCGCACACGCGACACACGCGACACACGCGACACACGCGACACACGACACACGACACACGCAACGACACACGACACACGACACACGACACACGACACACGACACACGACACACGCAACACAAGACATGACACACGAGCAAAGTACCAGCCGGTTGTCTTCGTAGTAGTGCATGCAGAGGACGGGCCGGGTATGGCTCTTGAGCTTGTGCCATCGGCCCATGCGCATGTCCCAGATGTAGATGACGTCCTTGGCCGCCGACACCACGTTGTAGTCCCGCACCTGCAGGCAGTTCACCGCCGACGGGTGCTTGAGCGTCTGGATGCTGTTCCCCGACAGGCTGTCCCACAGCTTCACGTCCCCTGCGTCGCGCCCGCACGCGCACACACAGAGATGGAAAAGGGGTGAGTGCGGTGTGGCGTGTGTGTTGTAGTGGCATCCTCGTGTCGTGTCGTGTCGTGTCGTATGCGGCGTGTCGCGTGTGTCGTGTCAAAGGGGGAGAGGGAGAAGAGAGAGACCATCGACGGCGGCGGAGACAAGGGTGCGGCCGCCGTCGCGGATGGCGACTCGCGTGATGGCCTCGGTGTGTTCCCGCCACGTTCGCATGAGCTGGCCCGTGTTCATATCCCTGCGTGCGTGCGTGCGTGCGTCAGCGGTTGGCTTGCTGGTGAGCAGCGGTCATCAGGAACTAGTATTCAGTATTACCAGAGCCTCACCGTGGAGTCGGCCGAGCCGCTCACAATGTATGCATCGTCTACATTGGTGCACTCTGGAACGCGGGACACAATGGTCAGACAGGAACACGCACACGGCACAAGCGCACGACACGCACAACGCCATTGCTCGCACCGATGGCCTTCTGGTGGCCGGAGAGGACCTTGAGGCAGTCCTTCGAATATACGCTCCATATCTGACCACATATAAATATTAATTTCAAAAATAATAACAATCAAATATCACAGAATGATTTCAAACAATAATAAACAAATTATAAATAAGTATAAATAAATAAATACCCGAATGGTGGAGTCGGCGGAGCCGCTGACGGCGCGGTTGCCGCGCAGCTCGAGGGTCTGGACCTCGGCCGTGTGTCCGCGCAGCTGCACGCGCTTGGAGCCGTCCTGCCGGTTCCACACCTGCAGCGCGGCGTCGGCCCCGCCGCTCACCACCGTGTCCCCGTTGAGCTGGATGCACGTGATGGGACCCGTGTGGGCGCCCTTCAGCACCAGCTTCTGATTGTTCCCCGTCGTCCAGTTCTCCTCCGACAACATTCCCTGCATTCCCGCACACACCGCACACACCGCACACGCCGCACGCGGTAGCCCACTTGTTATGAGCTCGGGCTCTGGGCCAAGAGAGGCAGCTGGGCCGACGTGGGAAGAATGCGCACCTGCTTGACGGCCTCGCGCCAAGAGCGTCGGTGGGCATAGTCCCGCTTCCAATACGTGTGGTACAGACTTCGCCACAAGCTCTGAAATAAATAAACAAACAAACAATAAATATAAATATTAATGTGATATTAATATTGTAAATAATATTAAAAATAAATAATAGAAAATAATTGGTGGGGTGTACATCGTCGTTGATGAGCCGTTTGAATTCCTGGCAGACGAGGCTCGTGGTGATGAGTTCGATGGGGTCGAGAAAGGAGAAGGTGTAGAGGAAAAGCTCGTCGGCCAGCACGAAGATGCCCTTGCCGCCCTTGCGACGATTGTCCCGCTTGTTGGGGCGCGGGTAGGAGAAGGGAGATGAGGAGAGCGGTCGCGCAGCCGTCCCCACCGGTGGGGTGTACTCCAGATCGGACCAACTGTAGTTCAGGTTGATGATGGTCGTCATCTCCTTCTCACCTTTTTTTCCTGTTACCTTTTTATCCAACCACTTCCCTTTTCTTCACTTTTTATTTTCAACTCTAAAGTTTAAGGTGGCGGTCAGGCCTCAGCCCTCAAGGAGAAGAGCTGTTGCGGGCTGCGAGAGAGAGAGAGATACGACACAACAGCTTCACGGGGTAAAGAAAATCTCTTCTCTGTATTTATGTACACGTCGTCGATGATGCTGTGCGCCAGCTCTTCTGTTTACACGGCAATAGGCGTCAACGTGGGTGCTTCGACCATCTGCTCGTTGGTGGTGTCGTTGGCGTGCTCGAGGCCGAATAGATCTGCTGGCGAGGCGCCCACTGAGTCGTCGTTGATGTTGGTGTCATTGGGGTGCTCGAGGCCGAATCGAGCCGCCAGCGAGGCGGCCAGGGAGAAGGCGGTGGTGAGGCCCACGACGGTGGGGGCGGGAGGGGGTGGAGGGGCCTCGGGCACGATCAGGAGGCACTCGTAGTAGCGGCCGCCGACATGTTCGCCGCACAGGGCGCGACGAGCGAGGACGACGAAGCTGTCCTCCTCTTCGGGGCAGTCACAGTTGAGCCTCGAGTCGAGGTTGGGGTTGTAGAGGAGCCAGAGCAGTGCGTAGTCGACGAGCCTCAGGCACTCGCTCCATTCGTCTGCAGCCCAACAAATAACCTCTTGTAAGACTTTGCTTCTTCGACAAGAAAGTGCAAGTAGAAGATGCCAATGAAGAAGAAGCTGAGCAGGGTACCATCGAGGATGTTCAGGCAGATCTCATCGCCCTCGATGTTGGGGTGCAGGACTGGCGTCTTGCAGCGGATGATGGGTGCCCTGGTGGGGTACTCGGTGGTGAGGTCGATGGAGAAGACGATGCGAGCGTCGCGGTACACGCCCTCGTTGGGGGTGAGAATGACTTCAACCTTGGTCAGGTCCTCCTCGTCGGGGAAGGTGATAGTGATCTGGTCCTGCGCGAACGAGCGATAGCAGGTGTCCTTGAACTCCTTCAGGATCACCTTGTTCAAGCACGGTTGTGTGGCCATCTCTCTTCTCAAGCGTCTTCAAGTGCAGTCTGGAGAAAGAAGGCTTGTGCCTGACGTACTTGAAGGGTGGCCCACCAATACAGATCCCAGAACCAATGCAGACCAGTTTAGGCGAACCGGTTCTGCTGGTTTTCTCAGTTACGCTGAACGGTGTTGTTTTTTGGTTGGCACGAAGTACTTTAGGAAAACATTTCACGGAATGCAAAAGTAAATTAAAAAGAAAAGTGGCTTTTAATCTGGAGAAAATGTGACTTTTTGCCAGAATTTCCGCTAGGTTTTTGGCCAATAGTGCTATTTTTTTTCCGCCGAATTTAGCGGAGTCTTTTCGCTTTTTACTGTCCGCTCGCCAATTGGTCAGTGCTGCGGGCAAGCAATCCACAGACCTCCCGCAGCGAAGTGCTCGAGCATGGTCCAATGAGACTCACCTGCAGAACCACAGCGCTTCTCGGCCTCGCCGGTTGGCTCGCTGGAGGCTCGTAGCGTCAAGTCTGGCGACAATACAGCGTGTTGATGGTAAATGACGTCGGAGTATATAGAAGTTAGCCACTATATCCCCACACCCAACCAGATCATAGCGGTGACGACGAAAACCCGCCGAGAAGAGTCCGGAGCCACTCCAGCCACTTAGTATATAATGATCCACCTCCAGTCCTTTATTCTTCATCTCATCTCTTCAACAACCGCGCCAACTACAGCTCCATTCCCACAAGCACCAACACAAGCTCCTCTGAGCTAGTGCAAGTGCAAGAGAGAACGCCTGTTAGCAACAAGAGAGAAACAAACCACCAACCAACCAACCAACCAAGCGACCAACCACCAACCACCGTCGAGACCCAGCCATCATGAAGGCACAAGTGGCATTGTGCTTGGTCATCACCGTCGGTCTGTGCGCCTCGTGGGCCTCTGCCCAGTCGTGCCCGGCTTCGTTCTTCGGCTCGGCCGCGTCGGGCTACAACGTGTTCCTGCTCGGAGGCGGCTCCGGCAACTACACCTTCGACCTCATCAACGGCGACACCGAGGGCAGCGTGGCTGTCAACGGTAACTTCCGCGCCACCAACTTTGGTGTCGGTACCCGCCTGGGCTCGTGCAACGCGTCGACCCCCACCCTGGTCGTCGGCGGCGAGGGCTCGTCGGTGAGCTTCTCCGGAGGCCTCCAGTGCGGCTCGCTCTTCGCCGAGGAGTCGGCCCAGCTCATCTCGCTCCCGGGCTTCGCCAATGGCGAGCTCGTTCAGGGCAGCGTGCTCGACAACACCGGTGCGGACTCCCCTGCAACCAACTACACGCCACCGTTTTATATTGAGAAATTCCAACCACTCACCCGCGTGCTTTGATTTTTGACGACAAACCAGGAATCGACTTTGGTGCGGCTCAGACTGAGCTGGAAGACGTGGCCTCGTCCCTGTGCTCGGCCGGCGGCGTGGCTGCCGGCGTGTCCGGAGGCGCCATCACCCTCGCGGGCAACGGCAACGCCTCGCAGGCCTTCACCATCAACGTGGCTGACATCAACGCCGCGTCTTCCCTCACCCTCAACGTCGCCGACGCCTCGGCCGTCGACCAGATCACCATCCTGCTGGTGGGCTCCGGTGCCATCAACATGGGCGGATTCCAGACATTCCTCAACGGCGTCAGCTCCGGCCAGGTGACTTTTGTCGTGTGCGCAGCGCCCACCGTCAACATCCAGAACTTCGGCCTCTACGGCAACCTGTTGGCGCCCTTCTCGGCCGTCAGCATCCAGAACGGCCAGCTGCTCGGCAACGTCGTCGCTCAGTCTCTGACCGGCACAGGAAGCGGTGAGGTCCACGTCCCCGTGTGCCCCAGCGCCGCTCCTTCGCCCTCGGCCTCGGCAGTTCCCTCAGCGTCGCCCTCGTCGTCGCCGTCGGCCTCGCCTTCATCGTCGGCTTCTCCGTCGTCGTCGCCCTCGGCTTCGCCGTCGGCCTCCCCCTCGGCTTCGGCTTCGGCTTCGCCTTCCTCGTCGGCGTCACCCTCGGCATCGGCCATTCCCCCCTCGCCTTCGGCCTCGTCTTCGCCCTCGGCGTCTCCCTCTTCGTCGGCCTCCCCTTCGTCGTCGGCTGCCCCCTCGGCCTCGGCCTCGGCCTCGGCTTCGCCTTCGTCGTCTGCATCGCCCTCGTCTTCGGCGGCTCCGTCTGCCTCGGCTTCGGCTTCGGCTTCGCCTATTGCCCCGTCGCCCTCGTCGTCGCCTTCATCGTCGCCGTCGGCTTCTCCGTCGAACTCGCCCTCGTCGTCGCCCTCGGCTTCTCCGTCGAACTCGCCGTCGTCGTCGCCCTCGGCTTCGCCCTCGTCGTCGCCCTCAGCCCCGGCTTCGCCCTCACCCTCGGCTATTTTCAGCACCCCGCAGCCCTCGGCCTCGCCTTCCGCGTCTCCCTCGCCCTCCGCGTCGCCCTCGGCCACTCCCCTGTGCCCCGCACCCCTGTTCGGATCCGGCGTGTCGGCCTACAATGTGTTCCTGCTCGGCGCCCCCGGCGCCTCGGCGAGCAACTTCACCTTCGACATGACCAACGGTGACGTGGAGGGTCGTGTCGCCACTGCCTTCGGCAGCCTGCGCGCCTCGAGCTTCGGTTTCGCCACGCGCCTGACCGGCTGCAACTCCAGCGACGCCACCATCATCGTCGGCGGCGCCAACGCGACCATCAACATCTTCAACGCCGGCGTCCAGTGCGGCTCGCTCGTCGCCGAGAACTCGGCCGACCTGATCTCCCTCCCGGGCTTCGCCAACGGCCGCCCCCTGCTGGGCTCCGTGCAGAACCTGACCACTGTCAACTTCACCGCCGAGGCGGCCCAGCTCAACGCCACGGCCAACCAGCTCTGCGCCGCCGCTGTCAACAGCACCGCGGCCACGGTGTCGCCCTGGCGCGAGATCTCGTTCACCAGCACCAGCGCCAACGCGTCGCAGGCTTTCGTGGTCAACGCGTCGGACATCAACGTCGCCTCGTCGGCCACCTTCAGCTTTGCCAACGCGTCGGCCGTTGAGAGCGTTGTGGTCGCCATCGTCGGCAGCGCCAACGAGTCTCTCACCTTCACCAACTTTGGCATCAACAACGGTGGCGTGCCCGGCGCCTACATCACCTACGTTGTCTGCTCAGGCCCCGAGCGTGACCGTCAGCGGCTTCGGCCTGGAGGGCAACCTGCTGGCCTACAACTCGTCGCTCACCGTCGAGAACGGCCAGATCGTTGGCAACGTGGTGGCACAGACCCTGAGCGGCCCCGGCGGCGGTGAGGTTCACATCCCTGTGTGCCCCACGCCCGTGCCCTCGCCGTCGGCCTCTCCCTCGGCCTCCCCCGCCGCCTCGCCGTCATCGAGCCCGTCGACC